GGGGGAGGGGGTGGGGAGGGGTGTATGGAGGGGGGCAAGAGTCTCATTGCTGAAACATGTATGCCGGACGCGCGGAGCAAGTGATGGATGCATTTGACACACGCACCAATCAAAAGTGAGCGATTAGGTGTGAAGCGTCTTCAGTGTACTTAGGCCCTTCTCCTCTTACGTTGGACCACTCTCGTGGCCGGCCGGGGCTGGCCGTCAGCTGTCTGTCAGGTCCACACAAAGCTACCAGACGAGTCGGCCAGCGACTTCAGGCTGTCCACAGAGTTATACAAATGTACACACGAATTCTGCAAAACACGTCATGATTTATGAGGATAACCAATGACGACAGAACCTCTCTGACCAAAGATAAAAGCACTCAGTCACTGAACATATATCCCTCCCGATCTTTGCCCCCGGGGCGTTCTGTGCGATGTGCTGTCTTGTGCTTCTTGGGGGTTTTTTTCTGCGGATGTGTTAAGCTGCTGCAAGTTTAGTGCTCAATCCTTGGTTTAGCGTCTTAGCCTTTTGGAGTTTTTGCAGTCCCACGGGTCTTGACCATTTCTCCTTTAAGTTGTTTTTTTTTGCTCTTCCTTTCTTGACCTTCCAGCTAAACCCCTGCATCTTTGAAGTCTCTTATTGCACCTCTCACGCGGTTCCCTTTAATCTACCCCCCCCCCCTCTCTCTTTTCTTGTTTTAGACGTGTGCCTGACTTTGACTCGGTTTGCCTGTCTCTCTCGTCTCAAGTCTCTTTCACTTCTCTCTCTCTCGACATTTTCTCCTCTCTCTCTCTCTCTTTCATCCAAGGACAGTCCAAAGATAGGCCGAAGCTTTGTCAACCTCCTTTTGTTTGTTTTCGAGTAAAGAGAGGCACGTCGACACAAAAATGATCATTAAATGGTGGGGAAAAGTAAGACAAATAGACAGACAGAAACAACAGAGGGAAGGTAAAGAAGTAGGACCTACCAGTGGCACCTCCAGATCAAGATTGAAAGATATGTAGTGTCAGACGCAGCACTTAGATCGAGTAAGGCAAGAGAAGGCACTTTACCTTCGCCAGCTTCACATACGAGACCATTCTGGACCAAGACGGATACAACATCCCAGCAAAAGGGCCGAGATACTTGATAAAAAGTTCTCCTTGGTTTGAGTAAAGTAAAGAGAAGCACATCGACATAATAATGGTCCATTAGTGAAGGGAAAAAGTAAGACCGACAAACAAAAACAACAAATGGAAAGTTTAGAAGTCGGACCTGCCAGTGGCACCCTCCAACCACCCACTAAAAATTGTTCCCACACGGGAATTGAACTCTAGCCATCTGCAGGCGATGGCAAAAGGGCCTAACATCACTATCGACAGTCAAAACTTACGTTTGTTTGAGTAAATAGAAGCACATAGACACAATAATGGTCATTTAGTGCTGGGAAAAGTAAGAAGACAGACAGACAGACAGAAACAACAGAGGGAAAGTGAAAAAGTAGGACCGACCAGTAATGCCAACATGTTGGCAACACGAACAAGGAGACGAACACTTGAAAACAACTGAAGCCTTGCTGTTTGACCGAACAGAACTTTATTGGCACTGTACCATGGATACTAATACAACCTTTTATATGTATCGTGAAAGAAACACACTTAAATCCAAACAAAAGTAACTGTCTTTCAACCAAAAAAAACCCATTACAATTACTTGAGCTGTCTATTGGTTTGCCAATAACAAACTATTCAGAAAGTAGGTCACCCACTACATATTCAACTACCCCACCGAAATAGATTTTTTAAAAAGAGTACTAAATCCACAACAAAATTGCCTTCGAGTTGTCACATAAATTACACTTCACACAGTCAGGCATAAATTCAGACACAATTAATTTACTCTTCTGAAGAAGAAAAAGATGTCTACAGATTTTGGTCCAAGTTCACCACAATTGTAGGAACTGTATGTACATGTTTTTGCACCCCTGTTGACACATTTTAGATCATTTCATTACAAGTAATCAAGATCATTGGGGGTGGGGGTAGGCTGCTTCGACCTTGCCTATCACTATCAGTGCCGGCGACCCAGGGGTAAAACCTCCCAGCAGATAGGCGGACACAGTTTAGTTTTTTAGTTTTAGTAGGAGTTTTACGGCACTTGCAACACAATAAGATCATATAAATGTCGAAGATTAGAGGTGTTACAAGAGAGTAACGAACACAAAAAAGAAGGAGGGGAGATAAGGACGACAGATGTTTGATAGGAAAGAAGAAGCAGCAAACCACATCAGAGCACCCGCCCACCACCTACTAGGCGGAGATGCTCAGTGAAAAAACCCCCAACCAAACCCTAAAACCCTCCCCACACGGGGGAATCGAACTCGTGCCTCCTGCGTGCGACAGTGAAGTGCGTAACCACCACACCGGTCACTATTTGTGTTCAGACAAACAAACAAGACAAAGGTACAAAAATAATAAAGGATATCATTCCAACATTCAGCACTGAAGTAAAACGTGAATCATCATCATTGAGCAAAATGAATCCACAATTTACTAAGCTTTTGATTGTAGTAAAAGTTCCGACACATCCATGAAACCGCCAAGTGTTCTAGAAACTCAGAATGCGAAACACAGCATAAAATCAAGAGCTTATCATTTGAAGGGTAGTTGGAGAGGGGACAAAAAGCATAACCATGAGCTGATGAAAGTAAAACATTCAAACAATTTTTACTTTGAGTGGGATGGATTGCTATGAGCCACCTCGGGGAAACAAAAGGGGAGAGTTATTCCAACACAGAGCTGGATAGCCAGCCCCCCATTTACAACTGACTTTTGACCCAAAGTACCCTGTAGGCTTTCAATGTCAAAAACTAGGCAATAAACATCTCTATCAACCAAACGCATGCAAAACGAGCACAGATCAAAACAAGAACACTATCCGGTGCACGTAAAAGAAACAAGCGGAAACCAAATTTGTGACACCTCACTACAGGCCCCTTACATCAATGTCAATTTCAAGGAAAGGCATAGGTCTATTATACATCATCCTTACACTATTCAAAATAAACTCTTCCGAGTACACTACAACAGACCAAATTAACACCACAGCTGAGAAAAAAAACAACTAAAAAACAAAAGTTAAAAAACACACCAAAAAAAAACAAACAAAAAACTGAACACACACTACTGCCAAAAGAAAGATTCAAATGATCACTACAGCACACTACAACAAGCCCATATTCAAGCCGCTGGCAAACAAAACTTCAAAATGAGAGATTATCATAAGTGTAAGTGACCCTATGCACGTAGATCTAGTCGTAAAACAGTAATCTATTTGTTCTACTCCAAAAGATTGGATAAGACTAAATGAAGAAAGATCTTTTTTTTTTCTTTTTAAAAAGGAAAACGTACCTGAATAAAAATGAATCAGGTCACGCATTGCTAAAAAATCGATATCAGGAAATACTTTACATGTTCTAAAGAGAATTCAAAAGGCACTGAAAACATCCCAAGGGAAGTTTCACTTGACATTACAAGTACAAGGGTCTACAGAAGAACCCAGCTCTGCACTGGGTTTTTAAAAATTTAAGTGTTTTACACCCCCATCAACACAATTTAGGTAATTTAGGAGGCAGGTCTAACCCACGCTAAGACGGGAACAACATCCCTGCAAAGTCGAGAGATTGAGATACTCGAGGGAAATTCTCCCCACTCAAGAATCAATCTCTGGTTTGTCAGCGTGCGACAGCAAAGTGTCAGACTAACCATAACATCAATACTCTGTACTCTAAACCTGTAGACAATCAAAAACACTGAAAAGAAGGGGGGGGGGGGGGGGGGAAA